AAAATTTTAAACTCAGCTCTCTAGCTCCCCAACCACAGCCTCAAACAGCTCCTCAACCCAAAAATCATTAGCAACTCGGACCTGAACTGCAGCTGTATATGCAAACGAACATGAATTTTTTGAAAAACGACCGTTCAAGCAATACTTTCAATTTTCGATGAACTGAAAACCTGCATATTCTAAAAAAATCGTTCGCAGCTCGGACCTGAACCGCAATCGTATGTGTAAATGAACGTGGATTTTTTGACAAACAACCGCTCGAGCAATACTTCCACTTTTTAGTGAACTAGAAATTTGCACTTTTTCAAAAAACTTGCATTTGTCATTTTTTCACAAAGCGAGAGTTTGCCGAAAAAACGACCGGACTTCATGCGAAAAACCGGTAATCATGCAGCTAGATGTCCTTGCGGCTCTATCATGCACCACCTTCATCCCAACTGATGCCCTTCCTGCATGCCGGTAAGGATCAATGCACGGCCAATATCAGCCTAAGTGTTGGACTACAGCGTAGGGATCATTCTTGCTAATAGCGATCTGCGAGTTTAATGCAAAAACGCATGATCGCACCGAAGAGCCTGCTGCGTTCCAGCCTGGGTTATGCGTTTTTGCTAGAGCGCTGCAACAGGCAGCAAAAACGCATATTGCAACGACGCAACGACCCTGTCAGCGTGTGTGTGTATGTGTGTGTGTGTGAGTGTGTGTGTGTGTGTATGTTTGTGTGTGTGTGTTCATCCGTCCGGGTATTTCAACTCGCCAACCACGCAAGCTTTGAAGCTGGAATTTTGCTAGTGTGTTCCCCAGACAAGTGCCACCCCATGACCGCGGTATCAACTCTCACGCACGTCCGAGCCCCGCGTACGAGCACGTGAAAGTTTTGGCGGGAAAACTGATAACTCGGGAACGAGAAAAGTTAGAAAGCTGAAACCTTAGGGGAATGTTCCCTTATCCGTGTATGACAAAAAGATTTCAAATTCAGTTGCCTAGGACTGTCCAGGGCTTACGCACTGGCACGTGAAAATTATGGCATAAAAATTCATAACTCGAAAATGAGAAAAGCTAGAAAGTTGAAACTTTGGGGGGATGTTCCCTACTCAAGCACGACCAAAACTTTTCAAACTCAACTTGTTAGGACCGCCCGGGGCTCACGTACGGGCACGTTGAAATTTTGGCGCGGAAGTCACTAACCCGGGAACGAAAAAAGAGAAGCTGAAATTTTACGGGGATGTTCCCTTCTCACGCACGAGCAAAATAAGGTATTTAGAAGCACCTGGAACCCGCATACGAGCGCGTGGAAATTTTGGCGCGAAAATTAATAACCAGGGAACGGGAAAAGCTAGAAAGCTGAAATTTTAGGGCAATGTGCCCTACTTATGTATGACCAAAAGATTTCAAATTCAGCTCCTTAAAACCGCCGGGTACTCACGAAAGTGCTAACTCGGGAACGGAGAAAGTTGAAGGCTTTAATTTTAAGGGAGTGCCAAATTTAGCTCTTCTAGTGCGGCCTTTTTTGCGGACTAGCAACTTTCCATTTGTCGGGTCATTGAAGTCGACATCTACAACTGACACACCACATAGTTGCACAATTAACTCCCCAAACTTCGAGGGCCAGTATGTCATAGGGTTAGCTACTGTGATTCCTTGCGATCTTGCTACGGCACGAAAAGTGCAAAAACGCATAATCGCACCAGCCCGCCTGGTGCGTTCTAGCGTGGGTTTTTCTACAAAATGAACACTGTAAAGCAGCAGATCAGCTTGCTGTTAAGCTGTGAAACGTAGCTTTGTGAGCATTTGTTTACTGGTCGTGACAGAAGAACGACGGAATGAAACGCAGCGAAGGATGCATTTACACGGACATTGTGCGGGCGCCTGTATCCGAAAAATTCACGGGGCAACAGTTCGAGGTAACATAACAGATGATATGCAAGAATAAATAACGAGTATTCTTCTCTCACTGGTCATCCATAAAGCACTCAATCGTTATTGATAATTGGTTCTCGTGGGGGCTGACGAGTTGTTGAAGTCCTGGAAATTGATGTTCCCGGGCTACTCGATCGATATTCCACAACGAAACCCTTCCGTTCTTCCGAATCATCCGTATTCAAGAACAAAATCATGTTTCTTCCAGTCGATGTAAATGGTGGTGGAAGCTTAAAAAACAGAACGTAAAATTTTTTGGGAATCAAAAACGTCTGTAACTTTCTACCACGAAATCAGCACAGGCGAGAAAGATTGCGGTTCCAGTTATTCGCATATTCTGCCAGTTTTACAATCTATTTTTTTAAAATGCTTTTTTTTTTGCATTTATGCAATGCATTTCGTCGAAGGGCTATCTTTGTGTATGTGTTTGTGTGTGTGTGCGTGCATCTAACATCTGTAGGGGTTTTACGGTCTCGAAACCTACGAACACTGTGAAGCTGAAAGTTTGATAACAGTCTACAATTAAATCCAAGCCTGTAGGCGCAAAATGAAGGTTCACTTTCTCCTGATTCTCATGCATGTCACGTGAGACTTTCCAACGAGAAAGCGATTTCGAGAACCAAGCAGAACAGAAGGCTGAAACTTTACGCAGTTGTCCCTTGCCCACGTGTGACTCAAAGAATTTAGATTCGGCCGTAACGCAACCCTGGATCACATGTACGAGCACATCAAAATTTAAACTGGCATCATACCAGAACTAGAACTAGACTGAGTAGAAAGTTATAATTTTACGACGATTTTTACCGTCCACTGTTGTGTTCGTGAAAGTAAATTTAGCCTTCGCGCCTGTCTGCATATCACGTATGGAATTATGAAATTTGACGTAGACAATTTTGTAACTTCGGACTAAAGCAGCTCGCTCGGACAACTAGATGTGCCATCATCACCTGATCTCCACAGTATCGCGCCACGCGGTTTTTCTCAATTCGCTCGCTTCCATCGAAGATCTCGACATAATCGAACTCACAATTCCTTTCACGCTCCAAATCAAACTGCGCAAAGCAAATATTCACACCATGGCCTGGCTCTGCTTGAATTCGCCATTCACATCTAAAACTTTCGTCCATTTCATTGGTCATCCATATTCCCTCTTGTAGTTCCTGAGCCGGCAAGACTTTACTTCTTTGGGGATTTTCTTTGAATGAACCTAATTTCCGAGATTCCCCCCCATTTTTAAAAGGCTCTAACAATAGTTTTCTTCATTATAGTACTTTATAACAACATACTGCAATATCGCAATTCACGACAGCTTCTAATTACTGGAAATGCGGTTGGGAACAATCTGTCCCCTCTTCAGTTGTCACGATATCGTAATCAAGATGAATCAGCCCCTGTGGCCTAGTACGGTTAAGCCTCCTCGGATAAAATCATCGGCGACGCGCACCGGGCTGGCCCGTGTAGTCTTGCATTTTTGCAAATTTCGTGCCGTAATGAGATCGCTCTGAAAGCCAGTAGCTAGAAGTGTGTGATATACTGGTCCTCGAAGTCTGGGAAGTTAATTGTCTACGCGGTTGGACAGGAGACATTTTGCTGAAGTTTCAGCTTTTCAAATTTTCTTCTTGAATTAGCAATTTTCCTGCCAAAAATATTCACGAGGTCGTACGTGACAACCACGTACGCCCGGGGGGCTGAGTTTGGTAAATTTAAGCCGTACATGGGCTGGGAATATTCTCTGAAAATTTCTGCTCCGGGCTTTTCCGGTCCCCGAGTTAGCCATTTCCGCGCCAAAAACTTTCACGGGGCTGTACGTGAAAGCCACTCGCAATGAGGGGCTGAATTTGACAACTTTAAGTTGTAGTTGTGCTTGGAACACTCCCTAAAAATTTCAGCCTCACAGCTTTCTTGGTTTCAGGGTTAGCCATTTTCGCGCCAAAAAAACTCACGAGGCCATGCGTAATAACCACGGTTGCCTGGGGCTAACTTTGTTAAATTTAAGTTGTACATGTGTTGGGAACATTCCCTGAAAATTTCAGCCTCCCAGCTTTCCTGGTTCCTGAGTTAGCCACTTTCGTGCCACAAATTTTCATGGGGTCGTACATGAGTACCACGCACAATTAGGGGCTGAATTTGGTTATTTTAAGTTGCACATGTGCTAGGAACATTCGCTGGGAATTTCAGCTTCCCAGCTTTCCTGGTTCCCAAGTTAGCGATTTTCGCGCCAGGAACCCGCGCACGGGGCCATACGCGGAAACCACGCAAGCCTGTGGGCTGAATTTGAAATCTTTGAGTTCTATGGAGACGGAAACATAACCTCAAATTTTAGCTTTCTAGCTTTTCTGGTTCCCGAGTTGGCGATTTTCCCGCCAAAGGTTTCATCCCCTCGTACGCGGGGCCCAGACTTGCGGGAGGGTTGATACCGCGGTCCTGGGATGGCATTTGGCCGAGGAACCTACCAGCAAAATCTTGACGCCGGAGCTTGCTTGGGTGCCGAGTTGAAATATCTGGACAGACGCACACACATACATACATACACACACGCACACACCGGGGTCGTCACAATATGCGTTTTGCAAAAACGCATAAAAAGGGATGATGGCCAGTAGAGATTCTGTTTTTCCAAGCATACGAAAAAGAATGTTGCACAGCTGAAGCACTACGTACTGTCACTCACTCTACCTCATTTTCTTCTCGTATTTGCCATCACTGTAGCGAGCATGCGAATAAATAAAACCCACTGTTTCTTCTGCCTTCAAATTACCACCACAAACTGCAAAGAGGTAAAAAGCAGTTGCTTCTGGTAATGACAGTGCGAAGTAAACAGACAGCACACACACACACACACACACACACACACACACGATGCTTCATCTATTAGCCAGTATACATGCTTCGTAAGTTTAGTATCAAATTTAGCATACTGCGGAGTCTGCCTCATGTAGTAAATCATTGACTTTCGATGAATATGATAAACCTGCTTCTGGTCAGTGAGGTACAGGTCGAGGTGTCGTAACGTTCAGGATGAGGCAGTAATGCTCAACATGGACCAAGAACATCTTCATAATGGCTGCAATCTTGCTAAGTACTTTTGGGGAGAAAGTCGTTAAGCTGATAGTCCTTCAGGGCTTAAAACGAAATCTAAACGAAGGCTATAGCCGGCTGGCTAAAACAGCTTCTGACTCGTCGTCTTATAAGTCAAAAAAAAAAAAAAACATTGTTTTTTTGAAATGCGCGCTTTCAGAAGCGTCAATATGCACCTTAGTGACACATTTACAACGGAATAAGGCTACTATTTGCGCAACTTTGGGACGATATGAACCGTTTGTTACATTCAGTTCGTGTGAAAGGAGCCGTTTGGGACGTAGAAGTGCGAACGCAAAAAGACAGGAGCAATCGGCAAATGGTCAACCAATTCTCGGGAACTGGCACGAAAATGCACTCAAAAAAAGGGAGCAGAAATTGCGGATATTGCGGCATCATGACTACTTAAAACTAGCGTCCTCTTTTTTTGAAAAGATTTTGGGATATTTTTAATGGACCTGATGAATAGAACGCTTTGAAGCCACGACGATCCACGCTGCCATCTGTAAGCATTGTTAGCAGGAGTTGATTGGAAGATGACTGGATACTGGGAAGCGTATCGCTACCGCAAAAAACACCCAGCGATGCGTCATCTACGCTACCGCCGTCGAAAACCTCGATGTGATCGTACTTGCATGTATTGTGCTCCTCGAGCATGAATTCTTCGAACGACTGCAACTGATGAACGTCAACAGCTATCAGATATACAGCTATCACCCTCTGTTGCTAATTTCGCCTTCTGCGCCCTGAGATCAGCAGTTTTTTGAAGATTGAAGCAAATTTTCATAGTGCATGGCGCCTAAGCATAAGACACACTATGGCAAAATCGACCTCTAAAAACTCTGATAAAAAGGCTTATTTATTCACACAAAACTCATGGCACAACAAAATGTTCAGTGGAATCTCAGTGGAAGTACTTCAAGCGGAATCTCTCTAATCCACATTTGAGGAGAATGATATTCGGTACACATTTTAGGCTTATTTTATAGGTGGAAAAGTTTGGAAAAATTTCATCGAAATACTTTTATGGGCTCCCTTTTTATTCATTTTGCTGCAATTCATGAACCAATCCGCTGATATGAAACGTGCTAAACGAGGCACTCACAAGTGAAAGGCGATGACCAGGAGTGGTAACAAAATGCCAATTGCAATTCTTCCCTTTCGGATAATCCAAAGGATAATTTGGTGAAGTGACTTCGCCTTCCGGATCATTGAGCTGCAAATTACAACCTCCCTCCTTACAATTGTGCCCGTCATCTGCCAAAACATACCCATTCTCACATTCGCATCGATACGAACCTGAAAATATGAGCTTGAAAGAAGCAGCAGTAGTGTAAATTTCTTCATCAGCCTGTCGTTGACGCAACACTGATAGAACGGATATGAAAAAGCGAACCAATGGTATTGGTGCAATGCTGCTGACAGCCTGCATTGTTATTGCTGCATTCATCAAGATCTGTGATAAAATACGCCGAAAAACCACTTTTTTCAATCTGTAATAACCAAACAGTACTCATGCGATAAAGCCCCTCAATTCGCACACATACCACATAGAGTTTCTGCATGAAAATTATTCCACATGGCGTAACAATCTAATTTCAGGATGCGAAGTCTCTGGATAGTGAGCGGAAGCTTTTTTGCAAAGATTGATAAATGGCCATCGCATGGCCGTGCGAAGATGCGTTTTTTGCAGAGTTCCCCGCAGGTTTTTGTCGCTACCGGCATCGGCTTTTCGGCAGGTGCTTCTAGCTGAATTTCAGACTGGCCGCCACAACTGTCAGGAAAAATCCCCTCAAAATTTCAATCTTCTAGCTTTTCACGTTTTCGAGTAATTAACTTACCCGGAAGGGACTTTTCACGGGGCTGTACGTAGGTACCACGCTTACCCGTGGGCAGGGCTTGAACTCGTTAATACCCACTTACACAGGGAGCACTCCCCTAAGATTCCAGCTGC